GCGAACGCGATGCTCCAGCTCACCCTCTTACGCGAACGCGTTCGACCAACCGCGAACGCGATGCAGAAACCAGGCAGGGCCCCAGGCCCTTTCTACGCGAATGCGAAGCAGCCCTCGCGAACGCGATGGTCTGCACAACTCCTCATCCCGAACGCGCTCCTAAGGCTGCGAACGCGAATGCCATTTTCCAGGCCTCTCAAATTTACTCTACGCGTTCGCGACACACCCCACGCGAACGCGATGAACAACACTTCTGCAACAACACAGCTGAAAACCTGCAATACTATAAGACCAGAAATGGTCCGATTGACCATCCAAAATCACCCCGAGGCCCCCGGGACCTCAACCAAAAGCACCAACTTATCCCATAACATCACTCAAACTTGTTCCAATCATCAAAACACATCAAACAACGCTAAAACCATCAAATCTCATCGAATTCAAGCCTAAGTTCTTCAAAAACTTCCGAAATGCACTTTCGATCAAAAACCCGACCAAACGATGTCCGAATGACCTGAAATTTTACACACATATCCAAAATCACCTAACGAAGCTACAACAACTCTCGGAATTCCATTCCGACCCTCGGATCAAAACCTCACCTATCAACTGAAGTTCGCCAAAATACTAACTTCGCCAATTCAAGCCTAATTCTACACCGGACCTCCAAAATCAATTCCGACCACGCTCCTAAGTCACAAATCATCCCCCGAAGCTAACCGAATCAGCGGAAATCACATCCGAACCTTCTAACTCATAAGTCATGTCCGGTTGACTTTTCTAACTTAAGCCTTCCTTAAAGAGACTAAGTGTCTCATTTCTTATCAAAACCAATCCAAATCAACTCTCACACACCACATACCGATAACGAAACGTGAAGAAGCAATAAACGGGGAAGACGGAGCAGTAACACATGAGACGACGGGTCGGGTCGTCACATCCCAAGTGCCCGGATATCGAATTTTTTTTAAGAAAGTTGTTACCCATAACCTCACAAACTCAAATATATGATTTTCACCAAATTCTATAACCATTTTCGTGGTTAAATCCCATTTTTATCAAAAACTAGGGTTTTTGATCTAAACCCACAATTTTCACTAATTTACATGTTAAAATCTACCTATAAACTACGTATTTAACTCACATTAGATACAAATTGCATATCTCAAATATCTAGTAAAACCCCCTCTCTAACCAGCTCCAAAATAGCCCCAAGAAGTGAAATAAATGAACCCCAAATGCTCAACCCGGACTTAATTGAAGTTCTGTCTTCCACGTTTTTCGCACCCACGATGAAATAGGCGTACCTGCGGTTCCGCTTATGCGGACAAAACCACGCAGGTGTGGACCAAGCTAGACTGACCTCCTTCGCTTCTGTGCCCAGTTGGTCAAGATTGCGAACCCGTGCCTGCGGCGATAAAATCGCACCTGCGATGTTTCTCGCTTCTGTAGTGGCTTCCTTTGAAATTGCGCCTTCGTAGGTGCGGTTCCCGGCTCGCTTCTGCGGTCACTGGGCTGCCTCTTGCTGGTCCGCTTCTGCGGCAAAAGGCTTGCTTCTGCGAGCTCACACCTGCGGCTAGCCAAGCGCAGGTGAGATTGCACCAGAAGTTGGGAGCTTCAGCTGTTGCTCCCAAGTATCAAACTTGGTCCGAGCCTCGTCCGATTAACACCCGAGGCCCCTGGAAACCCGCCCGAACATACCAACAAGTTTAAAATCGTAAAGAGGACTCGCTCGAACCCTCGAAATAGATAAAACAACATCAAAACTATGAAGCATACCCCCAACCCAAATCTAAACAACCTAAGAACTTAAGGTTCTTAGAACTTACTCTGAACGCGCCGAAACATGCTTAAACTACTCGGAATGAAACCAAATTTTGCGTGCAAGTCTTAAATCACCATACGGAAATATTTCTAGGCTCGAAATCCCAATTGGACGACGATAACACCAAATTCTACTTCAAAATAAATTTGAAAAACTTTAAAACCTTCAAAGAGGCAACTTTCACTATTAGGCGCTAAAACGCTCCCGGGTCATCCAAAACCCTATCCGAACATACGCGTATGTCTGAAATCATCATACGAACCTATTGGAACCGTCAAATCCTAATTCTGAGGTTTTTACTCAAAACATTGACCGAAGTGAAACTTAGCCTCTTAAAGCCAAACCAAGGAACCAAGTGTTCCGATTTCAACTCGAACCCTTCCAAATCCCGAACTAACCATCCTCACAAGTCATAACAGTAAAAGCACATACGTATCTCTTATATAGGGAACCAAGGTTCTAGAAAGCAAAACAACTGATCGGGTCGTTACATGGGGTTTTCACCATTGCCACTTTTGGAACCTTAGTTGAGCAAACATGAAAACAAGTGCTTCACGAAGTATAAAACAAAGCCACCATCAAGATTGTCAGTCATCCTTCTTGCTGAAGGCTTGTTTACTATTTACAAGCGCTTGTTTGTGATATTTCTGAATATCACCGGGTTGATTCTTGCTACTATTGGAGTATTCTGCTACGCAAGAGAGAAAGCAACTCTGTTTTCCATCGAAAACGTTCTTGGTTTGACACTCTATTGGAGTGAAGCTTTTCTGAAGGTGGTTTTCTGCTCCGCGGTTAATTGTCTATGATGGTCCTGCATGAGATTCTTGAGTTCTTTGAATTTCATAATCATGTGCGTTTTACGTGCAACTTGTGTCAGTCAATACAAACTTTTTTGAAAAAACACATAAATTTTTATTCTTAATTTGTTATAAAAGTAGGAAACTCCTAAAGACTCATAATTCATATTTCTTCTCTTTGTACTTGAAAACTTCTCTTTTTAGCATGTAAATCTTTGTAATAGATAATACACCTTTTGTTTCTTTTTATTCGTAATTCATATACTTAAAAATGATTTTTTGGTTTACTTGTCCATTTTAACAAGTTGACAGAGAATTAATCATTATTTTCTAATTTACCCTTCTTATTAAATAACTATTTTCCTAAATGCGTGCTTTACCTGTGCATCTTATATCAATTAACATTACGATTAATCATGATCACGTGCGTTTCACGTGCATCCTTTTGTTAACGAATATAAACTTTTTAATATCCTTCCGAGGATCCTCGGTTGAGAAAACGTAAAAAAGTTATTAATGAAATGAAGCATAAAACAAAACCATCATCAAGATTGTTAGTCATCCGTATTGTTCAAGGCTTGTTTACTGTTTACAAGCACTTGTTAATGATGTTAATTGTCTAGGATGGTCATGCATTCCAATTCAGATCAAAACCACGGTCACGTTGTTGTTTCAATCGCTTGGTGGGGTTCATTGTGGCTGTGCAATTTCTTCAATTGTATGGCTAGTCTATGCCTTAGTGTTGACGCTGAATAATAGAGAAAAGGCTTCAGTGGAAATCATTGGTGTAGCTTTTGCGATTCTTTCACTTCTATGCTTACTTCAGTGGCAACATTTCCTCTCGTTCGCCATCTCCATCACAATATCTCTGAGAGGATTCATAGGTTTATCGGATGGGCAGCGTTAGTTCTTCTGTGGGCTTTCATTATCTTGAGGGTTTCTTATGATGTTGAAACCAAATCTTACAATAATAAGATTGGTTCCGAAATTATGAAGCATGAAGAATTCCGGTTCACGGTGAGGCGCGTCCGAGTGAAGATCACAGCACCATCTGGCCATGCTTCAGTAATCAAATTTGACAGCTGAATCAAAGCTGGATTATTTAGGAGGATTAGCCCTTAGCCATTCTCTGTATGGCATGCGTTCGGCACTATTTTGGAAGGGAAGAAGGAGAACATGATGTTGGCAGCCGCTGTTGGCGATTTTACAGAATCACTAGTCGCAAATCCTCCTAGCTATTTGTGGGTTCGGCAAGTTCATTTTGCCGGCTGCCAAATATTAATAAGTGGCCTTATACTTTTTATTTTTGTACGTATACACACATTTATGCATCTATTCTACTGTCGAAGCGTTCGGCCCGCTCCACAATAAGAGGAAATACTTTATAAACAACCGGTTCAAAGATTATTAAGAGGCTAATATTCAAAAAAGCGCCAATTCTTATTAACGGTCAAGTAACCCGTCCAAAACTCAAGTAAATGAATTTCGACCTCTTACAATTCCTTTATCAAGTTCCAATATGATTTAAGCACTTAAATTAACATGTAGGGTGCAAATATCGCAAGTATAACATGATTTAGGTCCTAAACTTCCTGGACATAAGCATAATTAGTAGCTACGTGCAGACTCTCGCCACCTCGTGCGTATGCAACCCACGAAGATAGAATCACATATTAATTCAATTCACCTATGGGGTTAATTCCCTCTTACAAGGTTAGAAAAGAGACTTACCTCATCTCAAAGCTTACTTTCTGGTCCACAAATGTGCTTTAAACCCTCAACTCGGTTCCAGATGACTCGAAATTAGTCAAATGTTATATAAATAATCAATACATGTTCAAAAGTTCATATCCTAACTATTAAAGTGATTACCCAACCCCAATTGAAGAATTCCTAAAATTCATTCCTGGGCCCACGTGCCCGGATGTCGAATTTCTATTAAGAAAGTTGTTACCCATAACCTCACGAACTCAAATATATGATTTTCACTAAATTTCATAACCATTTTCGTGGTTAAATCCCATTTTTATCAGAAGATAGGGGTTTTCATCTAAACCCACAATTTTCACTAATTTACATGTTAAAATCTATCTATAAACTATGTATTTAACTCACATTAGATACAAATTGCTTACCTCAAATATCTAGTGAAACCCTATCTCTAACCAGCTCCAAAATCGCCCCAAGAAGTGATATAAATGAATCCTAAATGCTCAACCCCAACTTAAATGAAGTTCTGTCTTCAACGTTTTTCGCACCCACGATAAAATAGTCGTATGCGGACAAAACCACGCAGGTGTGGACCAAGGCTAGACTGACCTCCTTCGCTTACAAAACCACGCAGGTGTGGACCAAGGCTAGACTGACCTCCTTCGCTTATGTTCCCAGCTGGTCAAGCTTGCAATCCCTTGCCTGCGGCGATAAAATCGCACCTACGATGTCTCTCGCTTCTGCGGTGGCTTCCTTCCCACCTGCGCCTTCGCAGGTGCGGTTCCTGGCTCACTTCTGTGGTCACTGGCCTTCCCCTTGCTGGTCCGCTTCTGCGACCTCACACATGCAGCTGGCCAAGCGCAGGTGCGGTTGCACCAGAAGCTAGGAGCTTCAGCTGTTGTTCCCAAGTACCAAACTTGGTCTGAGCCTCGTCCGATTAACACCCGAGGCCCCTAGGGCCCCGCCCGAACATACCAACAAGTTTGAAATTGTAAAAAGGACTCGCTCGAACCCACGAAACGGATAAAACAACATAAAAACTAAGAAGCATACCCCCTAACGAAATCAAATCAACCTAAGAAATTCATGTTCTTCAAACTTACTGCGAACGCGTCGAAACATACTTAAACTACTCGGAATGACACCAAATTTTGCGTGCAAGTCTTAAATCACCATACGGAAATACTCCCAGGCTCGAAATCCCAATTGGACCTCGATAACACCAAATCCTACTTCAAACCAAATTTTAAAGACATTAAAACCTTAAAAGAGCCAACTTTCACTATTAGGCGCCGAAACGCTCCCGGGTAATCCAAAACCCGATCCGAACATACGCATGTGTCCGAAAACATCATACAAACCTATTGAAACCCTCATATCCTAATTCCGAGGTTGTTTTCTCAAAATGTTGACCGGGTCAAACTTAGCCTCTTAAAGCCAAAAGGAACCAAGTGTTCCGATTTCAACTCGAACCCCTCCAAATCCCGAACTAACCATCCCCACAAGTCACAAAACAGTAAAAGCACATTCATGGAGTCATATTTTTGGAAACAAGATTCTAGAAAGCAAAACGACCGATCGGGTCGTTACATGGGGTTTCACCATTGCCACTTTTGGATCCTTAGTTGAGCAAACGTGAAACCAAGTGCTTTACGAAGTATAAAACAAAGCCATCATCAAGCTTGTCAGTCATCCTTCTTGATGAAGGCTTGTTTACTATTTACAAGAGCTTGTTTATAATATTTCTGAATATCACCGGGTTGATTCTTGCTACTATTGGAGTATTCTGCTACGCAAGAGAGAAAGCAACTCTGTTTTCCATTGGAAACGTTCTTGGTTTGACACTCTGTTAGAGTGAAGCTTTTCTAAGGGTGGTTTTCTGCTCCGCGATTAGTTGTCTACGATTGTCCTGAATGAGATTATTGAGTTCTTTGAATTTCATAATCATGTGCGTTTTACGTGCATCTTGTGTCAATCAATACAAACTTTTTTGAAAAAACACATAAATTTTTATTCTTAATTTGTTATAAAAGTAGGAAACTCATAAAGCCTCAAAATTTTTATTTCTTATCTTTATAGTTGAAAACTTCTCTTTTTAGCATGTAAATCTTTCCAATAGATAATACTCCTTTTGTTTCATTTTATTCGTAATTTATATACTAAAAAAAGATTTTTTGGGTTTACTTGTCTATTTTAACAAGTTGACAGAGAATTAATCATTATTTTTTAATTTACCCTTCTCATTAAATAACTATTTTCCTAACTGTGTGCTTTACATGTGCATCATATATCAATTAACACTACGATTAATCATGATCACGTGCGTTTCACGTGCATCTTTTTGTTAGCCAATATAAACTTTTTGTTATGCCTTCCGAGGATCCTCAGTTGAGAAACGTAAAAAAGTTATTAATGAAACGAAGCATAAAACAAAGCCATCATCAAGATTGTTAGTCATCCGTATTGTTCAAGGCTTGTTTACTGTTTACAAGCGCTTGTTAATGATGTTAATAATCTAGGATGGTCTTGCATTCCTATTCAGATCGAAACCATGGTCACGTCGTTATTTCAATCGCTTGGTTGGGTTCATAGTGGCTGTGCAATTTCTTTAATTGTATGGCTACTCTATGCCTTAGTGTTGACGTTGAATAATAGAGAAAAGGCTTCACTGGAAATCATTGGTGTAGCTTTTGAGATTCTTTCACTTCTATGCTTACTTCAGTAGCAACATTTCCTCTCGTTCGCCATCTCCATCATAATATCTTTGAGAGGATTCATCGGTTTATCGAATCGGCAGTGCTAGTTCTTCTGTGGGCTTTCATTATCTTGAGGGTTTCTTATGACGCTGAAACCAAATCTTACAATAGTATGATTGGTTCCGAAATTATGAAGCATGAAGAATTCTGGTTCACGGTGAGGCGCGTCCGAGTGAAGATCACAGCACCATCTGACCACGCTTCAGTAATCAAATTTGATAGCGGAATTAAAGCTGGATTATTTGGGAGGATTAGCTCTTCGCCATTCTCTGAATGGCATGCGTTCGGCACTATTTTGGAAGGGAAGAAGGAGCATATGAGGTTGGCAGCCGCTGTTGGCGATTTTATAGAATCACTACTCACAAATCCTCTTAGCCATTTGTGGGTTCGGCAAGTTCATTTCACCGGCTGCCAAATTTTAATTAGAGGCCATATACTTTTTTTATTAGTACGTATACACAATTATATGCATCTATTCTAATGTCGAAGCGTTCGGCCCGCTCCACAAGAAGAGGAAATACTTTGTAAACAACCGATTCAAAGATTATTAGGAGGCTAAAATTCAAAAAGCACCAATTCTTATTAACGGTAAAGTAATCCGTTCAATACTCAAGTAAATAAAATTCGACCTTCTACAATTCCTTTATCAAGTTCCAATATGATTTAAGCACATAAATTAACAAGTAGGGTGCAAACATCGCAAGTATAACATGATTTAGGTCCTAAACTACCTGGACATAAGCATCATTAGTAGCTACGTATGTACTCTCGTCACCTCGTGCGTGTGCAGCCCACAAAAATAGAATCACATATTAATTCAATTCACCTATGGGGTTAATTCCCTCTTACAAGGTTAGAAAAGAGACTTATCTCGTCTCAAAGCTTACTTTCTGGTCCACAAATATGCTTTAAACCCTCAACTCGGTGCCAAATGAGTCGAAATTAGTCAAATGTTATATCAATAATCAATACATGTTTAAAAGTTCATATCTTAACTATTAAAGTGATTACCCAACCCCAATTGAATAAATTCCTAAAATTCTCCCCCGGGCCCACGTGCCTAAATGTCGAATTTTTTTTCGGAAAGTTGTTACCCATAACCTCACGAACTCAAACATTTGATTTTCACTAAATTTCATAATCATTTTCGTGGTTAAATCCCATTTTTATCTGAACTTAGGGTTTTTCATTTAAACCCACAATTTTCACTAATTTACAAGTTAAAATCTATCTATAAACTATGTATTTAACTCACATTAGATACAAATTGCTCACCTCAAATATCTAGTAAAACCCTATCTCTAACCAGCTCCAAAATCGCCCCAAGAAGTGAAATAAATGAACCCTAAATGCTCAACCCCGGCTTAAATGAAATTATGTCTTCAACGTTTTTCGCACCCACAATTAAATAGTCGTACCTGCAGTTCCGCTTATGGGGACAAAACCACGCAGGTGTGGACCAAGGCTAGACTGACCTCCTTCGCTTTTGTGCCCTGCTGGTCGAGCCTGCGAACCCGTGCCTGCGGCGATAAAATCGCATCTGCGATGTTTCTCGCTTCTGCGGTGGCTTCCTTCGCACCTGCTCCTTCGCAGGTGCGGTTCCCGGCTCGCTTCTGCGGTCACTGGGCTGCCCCTTGCTGGTCCACTTCTGCGACAAAAGGCTAGTTTCTGCGACCTCGCACCTGTGGCTGGCCAAGCGCAGGTGCGATTGCACCAGAAATTGGGAGCTACAGTTGTTGCTCCCAAGTACCAAACTTGGTCTGAGCCTCGTCTGATTAACACCCGAGGACCCTGGGGCCCCGCCCGAACATACCAACAAGTTTGAAATCATAAAAAGGACTCGCTCGAACCCTCGAAACGGATAAAACAACATCAATACTAAGAAGCATACCCCAAACCAAATCAAATCAACCTAAGAAATTCAAGTATTTCAAACTTACTCTGAACGCGTCGAAACATACTTAAACTACTCGGAATGACACCAAATTTTGCATGCAAGTCTTAAATCACCATACCAAAATATTTCCAGGCTCCAAATCCCAATTTGACCTCGATAACACCATATCCTACTTCAAACAAAATTTTAAAGACGTTAAAACCTTCAAAGAGCCAACTTTCACTATTAGGCTTTGAATCTCTCCCGGGTCATCCAATACTCGATCCGAACATACGCGTATGTACGAAATCATCATACGAACCTATTGGAACCATCATATCCTAATTCTGAGATTGTTTTCTTAAAACGTTGACCGGGTCAAACTTAGCCTCTTAAAGCCAAACCAAGGAACCAAGTGTTCCAGTTTCAACTCGAACCCTTCCAAATCCCGAACTAACCATACCCACAAGTCATAAAACAGTAAAAGCACATTCGTGGAGTCTTATTTAGGGAAACAAGATCCTAGAAAGCAAAACGACCTATCGGGTCGCTACATGGGGTTTCACCGTTGCCACTTTTGGATCCTTAGTTAAACAAACGTGAAAACAAGTGCTTCACAAAGTATAAAACAAAGCCATCATCAAGATTGTTTGTCATCCTTCTTGACGAAGGCTTGTTTACTATTTACAAGTGCTTGTTTGTACTCTTTCTAAAATCACCGGGTTGATTCTTGCTACTATTGGAGTTTTCTGCTACGCAAGAGAGAAAGCAACTCTCTTTTCCATCGGAAACGTTCTTGCTTTGACACTCTGTTGGAGTGAAGCTTTTCTGAGGGTGGTTTCCTGCCCCGCGATTAATTGTCTATGATGGTCCTGTATGAGATTCTTGAGTTTTTGAATTTCATAATCATGTGCATTTTTACGTGCATCTTGGGTCAATCAATACAAACTTTTTTTTAAAAACACATAAATTTATATTCTTAATTTGTTATAAAAGTAGGAAACTCCTAAAGACTCATAATTTATATTTCTTCTATTTATAGTTGAAAACTTCTCTTTTTAGCATATAAATCTTTGCAATAGATAATACTCCTTTCGTTTCTTGTTATTCGTAATTCATATCCTAAAAAAGGATTTTTTGGTTCACTTGTCCATTTTAACAAGTTGACAGAGAATTATTCATTATTTTTTAATTTACCCTTCTCATTAAATAACTATTTTCCTAATTTTAGTACGTGCGTTTACTATGTGTCATCTTATGTCAATTAACACTATGATTAATCATGATCACGTGCGTTTCACGTGCATCTTTTTGTTAGCCAATATAAACTTTTTGTTATGCCTTCCGAGGATCCTCAGTTGAGAAAACATAAAAAAAATGAAGCATAAAACAAAGCTATCATCAAGATTGTCAATCATCCGTATTGTTCAAGACTTGTTTACTATTTACAAGCGCTTGTTAATGATGTTAATTGTCTAGGATGGTCTTGCATTCCTATTTAGATCAAGACCATCGTTACGTCATTATTTCAATCTCTTTGTGGGGTTCATAGTGGCTGTTGAATTTCTTCAATTGTATGGCTAGTCTATGCCTTAGTGTTGACGCTGAATAATAGAGAAAAGGCTTCATCGGAAATCATTGGTGTAGCTTTTGCGATTCTTTTACTTCTATGCTTATCTTCAGTGGCAACATTTCCTCTCGTTCTCCATCTCCATCACAATGTCTTTGAGAGGATTCATCGGTTTATCGGATGGGCAGTATTAGTTCTTCTGTGGGCTTTCATTATCTTGAGGGTTTCTTATGATGCTGAAACCAAATCTTACAGTAGTAAGATTGGTTCCGAAATTATGAAGCATGAAGAATTCCGGTTCATGGTGAGGCGCATCCGAGTTAAGATCACAGCACCATCTGGCCATGCTTCAGTAATCAAATTTGACGGCGGAATCAAAGTTGGATTATTTGGGAGGATTAGTCCTTCGCCATTCTCTGAATGGCATGCATTCGACACTATTTTGGAAGGGAAGAAGGAGCATATGATGTTGGCAACCGTCGTTGGCGATTTTATTGAATCACTATTCGCAAATCCTCCTACCCATTTGTGGGTTCGGCAAGTTCATTTCGCCGGCTGCCAAATTTTAATAAGAGGCCTTATACTTTTTTTATTAGTACGTATACACACATATATGCAAAAAAAATAATCTTGCCTTTTTTCATACTTGTTGTTTATTGTATATATTCTTAAATGACATAGAGTCTTTAACTTCGTATTGTAATATTATTATTTATATTAGAAAAGGATAATTTAAATAAATAAGATGTTAGACATGTATTTGCAATATGTTACCTTTGATATTGTTGTAAACAATGTATTTACTAATATGAAGATTTAAGTAGTTTAATTCAAAGTTTTAAAAATATTTTTACTATTAAAGAGTAGACACCTTTCTTTCTTTTTATAAATTTTTTTGTACTTTTTTATTTTTTCTACAAAACATTAATATTGTCTAATTAGAAGTAAAGTATAAAATCCATTATTAAAAATTATGGGCAACCTAAATTAAAACTTTACTAGTCTCCTACTAGAGCCACTTTTTTCCACTCCTGACATTCTTAATCAAATTTGGAGAGTCTAACTTAAGATAAGGCAACAATGACAAGAACGTTAATGACAGTGACTGTGTCATTCAGTTATCAAATGTGAATGAAGTTGGTTAAACAATACATTCATGATGGGGCAGTAGTCTATAAATAATTGTTGATCGTCAATGAGGGGCGGCCCAACAGAACTGGTGGCCTAAAACCAAAATATATTAAAAAGACCCTGAATTGCTTTTATAAAGTCCATATAATATTGAGACACAAAAATAAAAACCTACATGACTTTGATCTAGTGGTGGGAGTGCAACTCATGATGTATGAGTTAAGCGCACATCATTTGGTATTGAATTCTTCCCTTAAGTGAAAATGGTAATGTCACGACCCTAAACCCGGACCCGGTCGTGATCGCGCCTCTCGTGAAGGAGAGGCCAGCCAATTAATCCAACTTATCTTTTTAGAATAGTTAACATCAATAAGCAGCTTTAATATGATTAAGTGACCACAGTCTATTAAAAGATCTCTTTAATAAATGCAGAATAAAATCCAAACACAGCCCAAACTGGGGTGTCACAAGTCACGAGCATCTATCAGAGTATAAATACAACTACAAGACCTAAAATATACAAAGCCGGAATAATGAACCAACAGAGAGAAAAATGGTGCTGCGAACGCAGGCAGTCACCTCGCTACTCCTATAGCTCTGCTTCGGATCAGCCAAAACCCGCTGCCGGGTGAACAAATACCTGCATCTGCACGCAAGGTGCAGGGAGTAAAGTGAGTACTCCAACTCAGTGAGTAATAAGGGAAAATAACAACTGAGCAGTAAGAAATCACGTAAAGCAAACCATCATGCTATATAGGGACAGTGAAAAACCCTTTGAGAGAAAGCAGTGAAGCTGTAAAACCTTTAGAAATATCTTAGCTCAGTTTAAAACCTCTTTTGAAAATGACTTTTTCAACAATTATGCAATTGAATGCAAAATAAATAGTGCGGATAAGCACAGAAG